ATCTTCCATGCTTTCAATCAGTAAATATTCTTCTATCTAAATAATGTACCAAAGTGTATCTAACAAATTCCATGTTCTTGGACATTTAGATTAGTTTTTATTGCTGTGAATGGTATTAAAGTGTTTCTGGTTTTTATTTTATGTTGTGATTTATGTATGTGTGTATGTAGTTAAACATAGGGCAGTAGTAGATAGCACATAGAAAGTTAAGGACATGCCACTGGAGTCGGGTTCCCTGGGTTCACATTCTGACTCTGCTGCTTATTGCATGACCTCACTAGTAAATGATGGGACCTCTGCGTGTCTCCAGCCTTACAGGTAAAAGAGGAAAGTTCCAGCACTTTCTGAGGTTGTTGTGAAGATTAAATAATATATGTAAAGAGTTTTAGAACACTCATACAAAGTAAAGTCTTATCAAAACTTAGCTATTAAATAACCCAGGTTTGGGCAGGGATGGTGGATGGACTCCTCGGTAAAATAGGATTGGCCATAATTGTGTTGCTAATTGAAGCTGGGTAACAGATACAAGCGGATTTGCTATACTATTCATTCTACTTTTCATGGTGAGATTTTTATTTTTTTATTTTATTTTTTTTGAGACAGGGTCTCATTCTATAGCCCAGCCTGGGATGCAGCGGTACAATCACGGCTCACTGCAGCCTCGACCTCCTAGGCTCAACTGATCCTCCTGCTTCAGCTTCCCAAGTAGCTGGGACTACAGGCATGTGCCACCATGCACAGACAGAAACTTTTTTTCATAATAAAAATAAAAGCACATACAATACAAAAACATTTTAGCTTTTACATTTATTTTTTGATTTCTGAATTTATTTTTTGGATGTGTTTCTAGAAACGAGACCACCAAGTAGGAGATCTTATAATCATTTTTGAATACAGCCAAATTGTTTTTTTAAAGAATTGTGTAGTATACAGTGTAATCCTCAATCTCAAACCATTTTATCACAGTCTTAAACAACACTGAATATTATTACCATTACATGCTTTTCGTCTAATTTTACAGGTAAAATGGTACCTTATAGTTATTTTAATTTCTCCTTTTTTTTCTTTCTGAGACAGGGTCTTGCTCTTTCACTCAGGCTGGAGTGCAGTGGCGTGATTATGGGGTCTCTCTATGTTGCCTAGGCTGGTCTCTAACTCCTGGCCTCAAGTGATCCTCCCACCTTGGCCTCCAAAAGTGTTGGGATTACAGGTATTGGTCGGCCACTGCACCCGACCTAGAATGTATTTGTGATTAATGGTTGCTGTAAATATCTGATCAAACCATGATAAACTGCTTTGAGGTTACAGCCACTACTGTTCTCATATAGCATCCCCTTCAGTGTGCAGTCATCTTCATTGCGGACCATGTGCCACCGGAGGCTAGACCACAGATGCCCCTTGCTAGTGAAATTTGACTTCAGTAAATTTTCACATAAGTTTGGAAGAGCAGGGAAACTACAATTCTGCTTTAAGGTGTTCTCTTTTTATATAACGAATCTATTTATATTTGCTTTTTTTCTTTATCATTTCCCACTTTTCATGATACTGATCACAATTGCTCATTCCAATACAGTGTATGATCACCGCTTCTCTCTGTAGCTTTTGAGATATGGTCAACTATTTATCATAAGGATGGATGCTGAATAATCTGATTTTTTTTGTTTTACTAATTTGTATTTTGAGTCTCCTCTTGGCACATTTCTGGTGCATTTCTTTTACTATTACAATCCTTTTAAAAAAATGTAGGATGCTAAGGCCTAATATTGTAGAGTGGTTTACATAAACTTTATAGTTTTCTACATTCAAACCTATAATTTGTGAGCGAGAGCTTTTTATTATGATTTCTGATGTATTTGAGCCATGTTTTATGCCATCTTCTGAGTAACCATAGGGACTGAGTGGTGACAGTGTATGAAACCATTTATTGTTCTATATTCCTATTTATTGCTTAACAAATGGCACCAGAGGCATAAAATTGTTTTATTTGTCAGATTTGCATAAGAACTTTCTTACAAAAGCCTTTTGTGGTACGTAACACATTCATAAATTCTCATAATCGTCCTTTTGAGGTACTTATAGTTTTACTGTTCTTCTTCTTCCTTTTTCATTACTTGGGAAACTTTTAAGATAAGAAATATTTGTCATGATGCAAAGATCCTACTAATTATTTAAAAGAACCATCCAAAATTGAACATAAGGTCTCCTTTTTCTTTTTGTTTTTTAGAAAACAAAATCTTTAGAAATCTTTAGAAAAGTTAAAATACAATTAAAGCCTGACTTTGTGATGAAATTATGTGGTTGGTTAAATTTGGATGCTGGTTATCAGACTTAAAAAGTACCTTTTGAAAGATCTGAGACTTACTTATGACAGGAGAAAATAGAGTTCTAAAACTTTTGTATAAAAAGTGTAGCATGTAAGTAGTGTTTGTGAATGTGTTTCTGTGGATGTGTTATATCTGTTCTATAAAACTTGAATAGAGTCTATAAAAACAGTTCTCAAGAGTGTGTCCACTGATAACAGATAAATACAGATAGGGATATAAACATCATGGTTAAATAAATAGCAAAAAGGATCAGCTTTTGAATTTCTCAAAATGTTAATTTTTTTTCTTTTTTTTTTAAAATTTATTTATTATTATTATACTTTAAGTTGTAGGGTACATGTGCATAACGTGCAGGTTTGTTACATATGTATACTTGTGCCATGTTGGTGTGCTGTACCCATCAACTCGTCATTTTTCATCACCTTAGGATAGATGTGTTACTTGTTATACATCCAGCACGTTAAGTCCTAGTGTCAAGTGAGTCAGGACTATAATCATAGATATATTTACCACTCCTTGCAACTTTAGCTATATTATAAAACTTGGGGATGGTAACATTTACAAATAGAGAGACTTGTTCTTGTATTAGTAGTAAATTCAGAGTAGTTTTCCACCGTGATGTGTGCTTTCTGCCCTAAGTATATACAATCTTTTCAGATTTATCTATGAGCTATCTTGCTAATTGTTTTGCCCACGTTCTATAGCCTTTCCCTCCTGTTGATGCAACTGTTCTCCCAGATTTCGTGCTGAGCCTAATGCAGCGTTGGACTGGCTTCCTACCTATGCCCATAGTGTCTGCAAGTAAACGTCAGCCAAACTCTCTGCCTTCCTGGTTTCCACGACTGGTTGCTGTGGGCTTTTTACACCGTCTTTCCTTTCATGGACTGGGCTCCTGAAGGTCAGCAGCCTCCCTGACCTCGGTGCTAGGATAAGCTGCCTTATCTTCTTCCGCTTGCACACAGCATCTCTATACTTTATTCAGACAATTACCTGATTTGCATTGTCTCACTTTTTCTTACCGAATTTTCTTGATCATTTAGAAATTTCCTTGGGGTTCAAGCCAGTTCATGAGCTAGATCTGATTTAAAATGAAGAAGGAAATCTGGAGAACGAACTAATAGTCGATTTTTCACCCCTGGTCTACATTTTATATCTCTACTCTTAAGAGGCAGTATGCTACAGGGCTAAAAGTAAGGGACTCCTGAGCCAGATTATCTTCATTTTGATCCTGGTTCTACCAGTTATTTCTGTGTGACCTTGGGCAAGTTATGTAACCTCTCTGTGCCTCAGATTGTTTATAAGGGAGATAATAAAAATCCTTACAGCATATAGAGTTGGTGAAGTTAAATGTGGTGAAAGTTAAATGAATAAATAAAGCATCCACACTAGTACATGACCCAAATTAAGTGGCATATAAGTGTTGCTGCATTGCAGTTCTCCTCTCAGCAACTGGGCTTGTGACCTGCCACTTCCGTCGGCTCTTACCAAGGCTCAGTGCCGCCCTGGGCCTCTGCTCCATTGTCATAGTAATGTTTGCACTCTGCTGGTGACCTGTAAGTGTACATATTTTAGGATCCTAAAACACGTATATTAGCAGATGATGACAAAAACACCAGAATTTTTATCAAAGAGAAAATAGAAAGTATATGGGTATAATATTGTAAGGATTAGAATACACCTGTCAAATTACTGTAGGTTGGCTAAGAAACAAAGCAAAACAAATTGGGTCCCATCCACTATTTTTTGGCATCCTAAAAATAACTAGCTCTTACCTGATGAGGTCATTCATTCGTGACCTGACCATCCAGGTCCTATCTGGCAATAATAACTTTTTGCCAAAAGCAACTCTTGCCTAAGTGGAGAGTTGCATCTTGATGAGTTTTGTATGAAAGTAAAGAAGATGCAGGAACATTATCAATGGGCTCTACACTAACCATTGGCGTTTCTGTGTGAGCAACGTGTTGCATAGTTGTGTGACTTGGCAGCAGCTGGTCCATTGCTGACGTGTATGTGTTCACTGAGGCGTCACTCACACCTAAGGCTTCCTTGGAGAGACCATGCTGCCATTACATTTGGATCACTACCTGCCCTCAACACACACACAAACATGAACCAACTTTCCAAGCACCACACCCACCTTTTCTGGGCTCTGTACCAGATCTGGAGGGGGGTGATGGCTAGCAGTGAAGGTTTTGGCTCCATCATTAGTAGCAGCTGGAAGTGGGCCGTGGCCAGCTCTGGTGGCAGTGGGCCACCTGTGGCTGGTGGCATGCTCACTAATGGAGATCTCTCATTATATACCTAGATCAGTGATCGGTGAAGAGCAAGCCATAAGAAACTCTTGGGTCTCTGGGAATGTTATCTTTTTACTCCTCATACAACTTCATGGTGAACTGCGTTGAAATTTGACATTAATTTAGATATGCTTGCCTTTTCTGATCTCTAGTAGGATTCTAGGCTGGATGTCTTTGGAATTGAAATGCTTGTTGGCTTCTGGTTATTTTGGGGGTAATCCATAACAGTCTGCCATTCCTGGTGTTTGGTTTTAGTGGGCTGGGAAAAACGTGAGTTGTTCAACACCGATGTCATGATGCAAGGACGTGAAGATGTGAGTCATGGTGACATCCATCAGCCAGAATTGCTAGGATTCAGTGAGATGACTCACAGTAAGAGGTCAGTGTCTGGCTCAGTTGTTTCTTCTTCCACATGTATCCCTCAGTATCTAGAACCCTGAAATTGGTTTCTCTGAGAAAACCAAGAGGCCCGAAATGGTAATATATATCGTTGATTTTTATAGTTTTCAAAAACTATTTTAAACATATCAAAATTATTTCAAGTGGTAATGTACTCAATGTACCATTTGGTTTAAGATGTTAACATTTTGCCATATGTGTCCTAAAGTCTTTTCATGAAGAAATAAAACCTTACAAATATACTGGCAAGACCCTCTTCCTGCCCATCATGCCCCCATCCCTTCCCTTATGTTGTTGAGGTGGCGTGTGTTCTTCCCATCAGCTTTTTAATTTTACTACATATCTGTGCATTCATAAACAACATGTAGTGTTTTGTGTGTTACAATCATGTAGTGTGTCCTTTTGCAACCCATGTTTTCCACCCATTCATTTTGAATTGATCTATGTTGATGCAGGCATATAAAAAAACTCATACAGCTAGTTTCTTTTAGTTGTTAGGATTTTACTGTAGGAAATACGCCATCGTTTATTTAGATACTTTTTAACTTAATTATCAGGAAACACTTTGTGGTATTTTTAACTCAGTTTCAGAGAACATATTCAAACCTGGGTTTATCCGATTTCATCAAGCTCTCGATAAACATTTGGAAAATAAAGTTGGGAAAATGAGCTTGCAGGTTGCCTCCTAGCATATCTCTGGGATCTTCGTGTAAGTGAAATTGTTGGCTGTGTGCCCCACTGACCTGGGGTGGGCAAGACCAGGGCAGCCCGGTCTTTCTCAGTGGGACTGCACTGCAGGAGGACCCCTGGGTCTTCAGAGGGTGGCCGGTCAGCTACTTGGGACATTGGCTCAAGGGAAATACAACATCCTTTCTTTTTAAATGAACAATGCAGTAGATCTGTGATATATTTGAGACTCAAGAAGCATTGAGTAAAGTGTAGCAGGGGAGACAAAACTAACATAGAAAAATTGCATGCTAACCAGCTTAGTATACACTCTACCCCTTGTTACTTTTGACAAAAATGGGATATTCTATGTTTTTCTTTGCACCTTGATTTCTTACCCAACGATACTTAGTGGAGGTCCTTTCAAAGCACCTAGTATAGAACAAATTCATTTTTCATAGGGTGTATAATGTTCCACTTTATGGACATAGAATAACTTATTTGTCCATTCCCTTATAAATGGGTCATCTTTTTTTTTTTTTTTTTTGCTGTAAACTGCTGAAAACTGTAGTAATGTCCTTATGTGTCTCTGTATCAATTTTAATTTTTTAAATTTTTATTTTAGTTTTGGGGGTATGTGTGAAGGTTTGTCGCACAGATAAACATGCATCACAGGAGTTTGTTGTACATAGTATTACATCACCCAGGTATTAAGCTCAATACCCAATAGTTTCCTTTTCTGCTCCTCTCACCCTCCCTCTTCAAGGAGACCCCAGTGTCTGTTGTTTCCTTTTTTGTGTTCATAAGTTCTTCTCATTTAGCCTCCTCTTAGAGAACATGCGGTATTTGATTTTCTGTTCCTGCATTAGTTTGCT